TACCCGTCCTCTGGCCCATAGATGATCTCCTCGTACATCTTTAAACGTTTGTTCGAGCTCTCCCCGCGGGGAGAGGCCGGTTGTTCCGCCGAGCCGTATGGCTATCTCCCCCCGCAAGTCCCCCTGCAATGGTGTTGATTACCCCGGCTAGGTTCTGGTCCCCCCGCTCCGGAGTCCGATCACGTGGACCTCGAGGTCGGTCGTGCGAGCTGGTCGTCCGATCTCGCTTGAATCCCCCTGGCTTCTGATCTGCTCGCCCGTCACGGACGAACTGCCCGAGATGACCTCTTCGTATCAGCTTTTCGATTTCCTTCTTAAGGTGGCGGCAGTCCTCGTATCGTGCCCCACATCTCGGTGGTATGCACAGTAGAGGTCCTGATCCCGTCTACCTTTGTCCCCGCCAAGGGTCGGGGAGGTCGGGGAAAGCCCCTCCTGCTCCATCACTGCAAGGACCCGAGCTCTGGGGCCGTGAGGGAAGTCCAAGGCTTATCTCCCCCCAGGGGCCGGCTTCTCGGCGGAGGGTTATAGGTATTCTTTCGCCCCTGGTCACGTCGCACGTCTCCCTGGTCGGTGATCCTTCGGCGTTTGTCGTCCCTTTGCCTCTCCTGCGCGCTTTTCAAGCGATTGGCTTCCTCAGCATTGGCCTTCTCGTGAGCTCGGTCCAGCATCTCCCGAACTGACTTGGGCGGTCTCTCCACGAGCTCAGTGTATAGCTTCTGCTTCCGCAGCCCGTTAATGAAGGCAGCCATCACCACCTTGTCGTCTCGGTCGCGGACCTGGAGGGATTCGTTATTGAACCGCACCATGTATTCGCGCAGTGATTCCTCAGTCCTTTGCTGGATGGTCAGGAGGTGAGCGGTGCTCTTAGAGAAGGCTCGCGAAGAAACGAACTGTGCTGAGAACAGTCGTGCGAGCTGGGTAAAAGACCTGATCGACCTGGGAGAAAGTCCCTGGAACACTGCCGGGCTCTTCCTTCCAGGAACATCGGGAAAGTCTTGCACCTGACCGCATCTGCGGCCGTTTGTAAGCGCATCTGCGTCATGAACACTAACAGGTGGTCTTCCGGATCCGTAGTTGCGTCATAAGATTTCATGTTTGGGATTTTGAACTTCGCGGGTAGTTGGTAGTCCTCAATATCGAGCGCAAAGGGGGAAGCAATGTACCTGTCCGCCTCAGGGTCCAGTAGTAGGTCCAGCTCGTCCTGCACCTGTTGTCGCTCCTTCCGGGGGAAAAGCCTCCGGACGGGCTCCGGGTGTTCAGTTCGGGAGTTCTTGTGAGAGGGTTCTATGACCTCGACCTGTTCACGCGTGAGTTCCCGGTGCGCCCGCTTGGCCCCGTGCTTGGGACTCCCAGTTCGGGACTCCGACAGGTCGGCTCCCTGGACCTTTGGCTCCTTGTCCGATTGACCTCCCGTCTGCCCTTTGAGGTAGTTCATGATCGCCTCAAAGGTGGGTAGGTTTTCCGCCACCGTCTGAACCAACTGTTCGGGCGGGATTCGTGAGGGCCCTACTCCTCCTTCTTCAGGGGTTGGATCCCGAGGGGAGTTTTGGGGGCCGCTTCGCTCCGTCCCCTTGGATCCGCCAGCGTTTCTCTGCGACCTAGTTTTCGGCATGATTCGCGAAGAAAAGTAACGTGTTCCCACAGACGGCGCCAATTGATGCGACTGCCGAAGTGAAGGTCCGAACTGGCCGGGTGCCTAGGCAGCGAGCTGGTCAAGCGTTCGACCTGCACGGGAATGAGCTGCGGGGCTAAGTCCCCTCAAGCAACTCCGACGATCAAGTCAGAATATATTCGTAAGTAGAAGAGTAGGGTTTACACTATGAGAAGCGTACCTTGTGTTTTCCCACGCGTGGTATTTATAGGGTCACAGATAGTAGTCTCCTAGTAGAACAGGGAGTCCTTATGGGAGCAGAACTCTCCCTAGGGCTCCATAACTCAGTTAAGGCGTGCTTGGGCTCTGCAGCCCGCGCGGCCCATCGGCTTGGGGAGACCGCGCCCTCTAGGCCCCCAAGCCGACCTGCTGGCCGAGAACCTCCTTCGAGCCGAGCTTGCAGGCCAGGCCGACGTGCACGTGGGCCCCACTACAATCAACATTTACCGTCGCTTCATCAGCGTCTACAAAAGACATACACGTAAAGCACATTTTCTTTTCTTTGGTTGATTCTTCCCGACCATCATTCTCTCAAAATTGTTCTTCGGACCTCTCTCATCAAAAGGAGAAATATGTTCTTGTATCACTCTCCTTATGGATTTTGACTTTGGTGCAGGAGGGACCTTCTTTTTCTCTGTCTTTTCCTTCTTCTTCCCTGACCATCTTAGAGGATAAAAAATGGACTGGGCAGGTCTTCATAAATAGTAGAGCCCCTTCAACCATGGTTCAAAGTCGTGGTCGCGGTCACGGTTGCGGCCCGGAACGTTTCACATCGGTTTCGGCATATCGGTCACGGTCTCGGTGAGACGCAAATTTTAAAATATTTAATATTCTAAAAATTGTTAATAATATAAAAAAAAGTATGCTAAACAAAAATAATAAAAAATAGCAAAAGAAATGGCCGAGTCAATCCATTACGGTGTAATTCGGCCAATTTCTCGTCTTGACTCGGGATAACTCGAAGCGACTCGGTGTGACTCGGCCGAGTCAATCCGTCGCGGTGACGTCTCGGCCGATTTCTCGGCGAGTCAAGTATCTCGGTATCGTTTCGTCACGGTATCGTATCGGTAGGGACCGAGACGGTGACGACTCGGCCGAGACTTCGAACCATGCCTTCAACTCCTTGGTTCTCTGAATGGATTTTATATCTAAGATTTCCAGGCCTTCTGCAATTTTTTACTAACGTACTAAGCTCCGCCAAATACACCAACTGTCAATAGGCCAGCAACAGCCTGCCTTGCACTTGAAATCATAACTTTGTTCCTGAGAAGCTTCTGCATACACTTTGCAGCCTCTTCTTTTGAACCAATTACAACTTCTTGTTTAACTCGACCTACAAACCAAATGCCAATTACCTTAGTTGTATACACAAAAGGCCACGTGGAGGTCCAAGTCAACAACTTGTAGAGCATGTGACACATTAATCCATAAAATAAGCAACATCATACCAAGACCAACTAAACAAATGAATGAATGAAGGTCCATACCCAATTCATCCAGTATTTTCTTCTCTCCAACTTTTATCCCCATTTGACTTCTGATTGGTGGTGGAAGAGAAGAGACAAGTTTTGAAGCAGCAGATGACCCACAATCCTTATTTTAACAGTTCAAAGTATATATTAGAAAAAGAGTAAATCTTATATACACTGATAGTGTATACACTATTACCATTGGATCTATGACATATGTGCAAAAGTTGAATTTCAAATACAATACATGATAAATATCAGATCTTCTGAGACCAGGTTTGACTATAAACATGCACTTTCAGACTACGTAGTATCAAATTTCACTGGTCACAAGTAGAGAATATCCTATACAGATGCAACTAATCTTGTAAACAGACTCTAGAGAAAAGTACACCAACTTAGAGTGCTTTAAATCGCATGAAACCTAATATAGCCTCAATAAAGAAAATCTGAGAAATCAGAAGTTTCCCTTAGAAGCTCAGACAAGTGAGAAGCAGCTGACAGTCGACAGTCATTTGAAACTTGATAAATTGAATGCTTAACATAGATGACAAAAAGCGTTCCATTTCAAAGAACAAACAGAAAAGTGTACTACATGCCAGATAACATCAATAAGATTTGACCTTTTCAAAGAAAACACAATGATGCTAGTCATACAGCATTCAATTACAAAGTAAATCAGTGAAGAGGTCCCGACTACTGATTGTCCAAGCCAATATTTTTGGCAAGCTAGAGGACATAACTTGATCACAGAAATGATAGGTGAGGGAAAATTGAGTTGAGTTTAAATGTTTAACAAAAAAAATTGAATTGAAAGATAACAAGAACTGGAAGAATGAGTTAAATTCATGTAGCTAGCTAAAAAATTTAGACATACCTACCTGAGATACAGTTACTTGAGCATCACCAGAAGATGAAAGTCTCAACAAGTCCTTGGCTGCATATTCTTCAAGGAAAGGGTTATACATTCTATGAAACAAACTGAACTGCCCTTGGACAATCTTTTTCACCTGTGGACAGATTGGCATTTCTGTTAAATAGAATGATGATACTCAAATAAACAAAAGAACCAGCATCGCCCTAAATCTTCTCAAGCTTACAGCTATGCCATATAAAAGTCATTTCTAAAAATTTATTTCAGGGAATAACACCTTTGATGGTGGAGCTTTAGGCATGGTTCTCTGGCACTTTTTCAAGAACTTAGAGAATTTCAGGAATGGAGGCGGGCATAAACCTGACCTCCAACTCAACCACAAGAACAAGTGGACCCCAGCCTGTCAAGTCTAATCAGTCCTACGTTAAGAAAGGAACATCACTTGAAGACAAAATTTAAATTAGTTTGACAGCTGACGCTATAACTAGATAAAGTATCAACTGGCTTATAAGAATCCCTATATTTGATCCACTCCGATGATTGGTACCTTACACAGAAGCCCTTAATAACTCGACTTACATGGTCTAAATACCAAGGACGCTGCCAATGATCGTTCAGAACACCAACAAGGATTTCAGGATCCAGCCCTACTTGTAAGGGGAAAATATTGTAAGAAGTGCACAAATTAATGCCATCAGGAGAGCCAAAGTCTGCTGTTTCTTAAACTAGTATCTAGTTGGTGATATAGCACACAAAATAAAACATTGGAGAAAACTATTGATCTGATTAAGAATCGAGGAAAGATATGTGTTTAAACTTTGTCAAAATAGGTGCTAGAAACAGAAGCCATGTCCATCTTGTATGATAAAACCAACAAGAAAAGAAAGGATCTGTAAGCTGTTGATAATTCCATGTGACAAAAGACGTGTAGAAGGAGAAGATAGAGCTTTTCTTGTGCTACCAAAAGCCATATCTACTGCAAATCTCCCAGAGTTTCAATCAGCTTACTTTATTTTTGTCTTCAGCAAAGAGCATTCTTAAGTCGCCCATATATGATAGGCTACATATTTTGGCATATAGATCCTCCTGCAAAACATGCCAATTTTTAGAAGACAGAAGATAAGTTTATGAATCAAACATAAAACATCACAAACCAGCAAACCTCTGTAAACTTGGATGGCAAAAGGAGAAGAGCAGCAGAAGTTGCAGCCCTCAGATTAATGTGATTCAGATTTTCAAGATCCAAACTATCCATGATTATATTTACCTACAAGCAAAATGATATATTCGAATGTGATATAAGCTTCAGTGCAACTTATTAAGCATTTAAAGATGAAATGCAAATGGACATTTTCTAAATTTAAGTATAACGGAAAACATTTCCATGAAAACTTCACAAGCCAAGTCCTACCAGAAAAAGCAATTCATTGAAAATTGGAGCACTTTGAAATAAAACATACAGGTTTTTGCAAGCGGCCACAAGGGTAGAATCTCTGCCATCCCAAAATGTCGTTAATCAAGTCATCCATTCTAACAACTCCATACTTATACATCTGCCAAAATCAGTTAAAGGTAAAATTACAAGAAAGATATACCGCAAGGCATTGATAGAACCCATGTAAATGTAAGTCAACAACCACTTGAACTTCACAGAGTTGTGGTGTGTTCAATTCCTCGCACTAAAAGCACACGAAAGAGACACATGCCAGCTCATATCATCAACCAAAACCATACACTCTTTATGTTTTCGACGGACAAAAGAAAAATATACGCATTCATTTGAAATGGTAGATACCTTATCATTCAACGAAACAAATAGATTGAAGTGCACGCCAACGCCAATATCATCAGCTACGCCAGCAATCTATTATCATATGATCGAAATCATTTATATAATTCAACTTAAACCAAATTAAATAAGTAAATCTTAGTCAAAAATCAAGCAAGAGTAGCACCAGCCTTGCACCACCGAAGCGCAGCAACCATGAAGCATAGTGATGCGCAGCAACCATGAAGCATAGTGATTCCTATTCATCTTCAAGTCCTTCATTTAAAACAGGGAGTAGACAAAAAATCAGCATGGTTCACCGAGTTCATGAGAGACATAAAGCAATATAAATAAAGATGCAGCACAAAGCAATCCAACTGCATACCTCAGAATGCCATTTCTCAGGATCAGACACACCAATAATGCAATCTATCATCGAGTTCTGCACAACCAAACAAAATTAAACAAAGAAACACACAAGTGAATGAAAGAAACCTGGAAATGTTGCACAAGAGTATTCAAGTGATCATTGCTACAAAACATAGTGGAGAAAAGGGAAGAAGTGAAAACCTTGTCGAGATTGTTTGGATGGAGAGTGGAACCATAAACACAACAGAACTCAACTGGGGGTAGAATTTCCAGCAAACCATTTAGCTCCGATGTACCATATTGTAGATCAATAATATGCAGAGGTTGGCCGCGGGCACAAGCTGAAACTGTGAAATTAATCTAGTACAATTTTGTTTAGGCTTGTGAAATTCGTTTACAAAAGTACATAAACATGTCAATTTTTTTTTTTTTTTGCTCGAGTCCAAAATATGTGCTTTTTTTAAATAATAAATATATGCATGCTATACATTGTGATATTGCATTTGCACATAATAGCAAGTCATCTGTCACGTTTACTTTGTGTACACACTATCTAAAGTTGTTAATTGCAAGCCTGGCTAAGTTTGTTTGGATTACACATTATTTACATCTTATTTATGCACACTGATTTGCTTGTATCATTAATAAATTTTTCAATCATTTTTTTATCTTACATATATCATATAAAAAAAGTGCTACAGTATTTTTTTACAAAATTATCTCAAATAAACTACTATCCAAACACTGTTGTAATATGACATGTAAGAAAGCTGTTGCAACAATTTTTTCATTACTCTTTGGAAAATAGCGATAGTGTCAAAGGATATCAAACAGAATAATGCAGCTCACTCCTTTACAAAGCCCTAACATGTCATTTGGCATACTAGTTTTTTTTTCGTCAATAAGCAATTTTTATACTATTTCTATTTCTACTCTTATGTTAACTTATCTAAGAAAAGTCTAACCAAGTCAAGAAAATCGACAAAAACTAAATCACCGTCGAACGAGATGCATGCGTAGGAGTGCAATCAAGTCAAGCCGCTCGCGAATAGCTTGCGAGCGGCTTGCGTCAAAAGTTTGGCTCGAGTTCTCAAACCAAACTCGAGCTACTCGTTACATTCAACAAGTCGAGTTCGAGTTTCAAAAATAAATACTCGAGTGCTCGACGAGTTTAATCGAGTTTTAATATTATATTTATATTATATTCATAATATATTTAATTTATTATTTTGAGAAAATTTTTATAGGTTTAATTCAAAACTCGAGCTCGAGTTCGAGTATAACGGACTTGATATTTACTCGAGTTCAAACAAGTCGAGCTCGAGTTTAATTTTATTTTATCGAGTCAAGCTCGAGTCCAAATTTATTTATTCGTTCGAGCTCAAGTAGCATTGATTGTGATCGAGTTCGAGCTCGAGTATGTACTACTCGAGCTCGACTCGGCTTGATAACACCCCTACACATGCCTGCCACCCCGTTTTACATACTAGATGATTTACACCAATTTGCCAGTCAATGATGCTTTAGTTAGTAGGGTAACTTGAATTCAAATGTTCTGAATACGAAATTAATTCCCTACCAACAGCAGCGTCAAACATAATTTTGAATTAAAAAAAATTAAAAGTGTTCATCGTACCACGATCCTAATTCATTATCTGGACAAATGTGCCACAATCTTAGGAGTAATTGCGGTGGATTTGAAGAAAACAGGCAGAGGAAGGAAATCAGAAATCTAGGCGATGAAACTATCGGTGCAATTGCCTGCCAGATATTGGGACGCTCTTATGGCGCGTGACTGCAATATGACAAGAACTCTAATAGCTAGTTTGGGAGTTTAGGATAGAAAAAAAAAAGAAAAGAAACCTTAACAAGGATGAGAAGAGAAAAGAAAAGAAAAGATTTTGATGTTATTTGGGAGTTTAAAGAAGAGATTGGAAAGATTTTGAATATATATGTCATTAAAAATTTGTTCAATAACCATTTAGGGACATAATTGGTATTTTGAGAAAAATTTTCCACTTTCCGTCCAATCAGCCCAAAATGGGCGTAAGGCTTTTCCTGCTATAGCCTCAAAATGGATCTGATCAAATCGGTACATTTCCTTTCTTTTCTGACATCAAAAATCTCCATAACGAATAGAAAATTAATTTCCTCTATTATTTTCTTTTCTGTTTTGGTCAAATCTCTCCTCCCAAACGCCCTATAAATCCTACGTGCAGCAAAAGTCGTGTTGGTTTGGTCGCATCTGACTAGTGTATTCGAGCTCGAGATCAGAGTGTATTACTTGCGTTCGAATTTGAACTTGACCTCGACGAATTCTCGATTTCGAATCTTGAATTCGATCGCGTAAAAAAATGGAATGCTTAAAATTGAGATTGAGTTTGCCCAAAAAATAAATAGAGATAGAGTGATAAAGCATGTAATTTTATTCTAAATTGTATAAACGTTAACAGTGTATACACTATAAAAAAAATATGAGTGAACTTTCAAAGGTTGAATTTGAACTTGAACATGTATTATCGGAGTTTGAACTTGATGAACTCGATGAACTCTTGATTTTGAAACTTGAGCTTGACCGTATAAAAAAATAGAATGGTTGAAGTCGAACTTGAATTCGCTCAAAAAGCAGATTGAGATAGAGTGATAAAACATGTAATTTGTTCTAAATCTTATGTACGTTAACAATATATATATTAGGGTTAATCACATTTTATCCCCCTAAAGAATACCCCATTTTTCAGTTTACTCCCTAATCTTTAATTTTACTCACTTAACTCCCTTTAGGACAAAATTGCCCTTGCATATATTTTGATTTTTCCTTTACCTTATTTTCCTTTCTTTTATTTCTTTTTCACTTTCTTCTTTATTTAATTCTTCCTCTTTCCCACAAAAATCTTTACCTTAATGATTGAAATTAAAAAAGAGGAATTGCGGAGATCTATCTTCTCCTTAAATGATTAAAAAAATATTCAAATCACTTTCCTAAAATACAATTTTTTTAGCCTTTCAATTCCTTTAATTTTGGGTTTTCCTCTTTCCTTTTTAGTTTCTCATTTTATTCTCAAGAAAATATCATAAGATGAAGTTGTAAAATACGTGTCATTTAGCTCTTATTTCAAGTCATCTACTGAAACGTGGTGCGTTGATGTAAATGGTTTTTGGTGTTTGTTTTGATGTAGAAGCAATAACAAGAAGCGTATCAATCTAAGCGATACCACCTACAATTTGGAAAGCCAAATGCGAAGCTGTAGAGCAAAAGTTTAGGCGTACAAAGTTTTAAAAGTGGTAAACGCCTACAACAATCTAAGTCTGCACTTTCAATTGATGGATGTTCCAAACTTTTACAAATCCCTAGATCCTATCTAAGTCTGCAAGGATTCCATGTTTCTTAGTTTTCAGAGTAACTCGCACATATTTGCCTCCCCTGCTGCCTTTTTCTTCCAATAGTGCCTTAAGCCTGAATTCTCAGTATCTAGCGTTGAGCACTGGTTCAAGTTATTGGATATAGCTTCTTGAAAAGGACAATTTGGGTGCTCTAGTTTGTAGTTCCCAGGTGTTGGTTTACCCGCTTGACAAACTGATGAAAATAATTGCTTAGAGATCAATCATTCTAAGTTTCTGGTGAAACATTTTGCAAGAACTTACTTATAAAACAATTTTAAGATATATATAACAACAGGTCAATGGACGTGAAATGTAATGAATCTCATATGGGCTGACTGAATAAATAGCTCAATCTTACTGTCTGATGCAGGTTTTTTATGTGTCCAGGAAGCTGCTAATGTGCAGTTCAAACGATAGCTTCATTATCCTGCTGAATTCTGATAAAATTAGATACAAAACTTCTGAAGTAAAGCTCTGAATTACGAAAGCACAGACCTGTGATTCAGTCCACTATACAATGTCTACGCTAGCAAAGTTGCGCTGTGTCACACTGATGATGTTACTGGTACACTGATAGCATATAAGGGCGAGCTTGGTGATTACTACTGCATGGCAGCTAAAGCTGTTGGTTTGCCATGTCCTGACTACAAACGAGTTCATGAGGGCTTTAAGCTTGCATATACTGACATGGCAAAGAAACATCCATGTTTTGGGTTTGCAGAAAATATCCC